TGCCACCATTCTGCAGCCTGAGCTGCAGCTGGTCTCATCCCTTGCAGAACAAAGCCCCACTGTCCCTTATCTCCTGCCACCTCCCTTTGCCTGTCCATAGCCCTTGCTTTCTCCAACATGCTACTTAAGGCCAGACCCACCAAGAAAAGCTGCTGCACCATTTTTTTTCAACCAGCCAGCCTGCTTATTAAACTTTTGGACATGAGATAACTCTTGTGAGCCTCCTTTGTGTACGGTGCGGCGTTTTCCTAACACTTATCCTGCCTCAGATGGACCCTGAGGGCCCCGTGCTAAGTGAGAGAAGCTGACACACAGGCCCCACAGCGTGTGACTCTATTGATAAGAAATATCCAGAACAGGAGACAGGAAGTGGATTCTTGGGTGCCCTGGGTTGTGGAGGGGGTGAAGTGATTACTAATGGGGGTGGGGGTGCTTTTGAATAATAGAATAATCTGGAATTAGTGGTGATAGTTCCACAACATTACACTTTAAAAAGGTTAAAGAGCTGTGGGAGTGAGTCAAGTGGTAAAGCGCCTTCTTAGCAAGCATGAGACCCAGTGCTGCCAAAAAAACAATAAAAAGGTGAAAATGAGTGTTAGCCACTGGTGGCTCTTGCCTGTAATCCTAGCTACTTGGGAAGCAGAGATCAGGAGGATCGAGGTTCAAAGCCAGCCCCTATTTTGAAAATACCCAATATACTTAGCTACTCAGAAGGCAGAGATCAGGAAGATTGAAATTTGAAGCCAGGTCCGGCCAAATAGTTCTCAAGACCCTATCAAAAACAAAGCAACATAAAAAGGGCTGGTGGAGTGGCTCAAGGTGTAGGCCTTGAGTTCAAGTCCCAGTACCACAAAAAAAATACACGAAAGGGCTGGCCAAGTGACTCAAGTGGTAGAACACCTGCTTAACAAGCATGAGTCCCTGGGGCTGGAGGAGTGGCTCAAGCTGTAAGAGTGCCTGCCTTGCAAGCATGAGGCCCTGAGTTCAAACCCCAGTGCCAACAACAGCAACAACAAGCATGAGTTCCTGAGTTCGAACCCCAGTACCACACCCCCACCAAAAAACCCAAAAAAACAAAAAAACAGGTTTTTTAATGGGTTAAAATGAGCTGGGCATGGTGGTTCATACTTGTAATCCTAGACTTTGGAAGCTGAGTTAGGAGGATGGTAAGTAGGAGGCGAGCCTGAGCTACATGGCAAGATCTTATTTCAAAAAACAAAACCAACCAAACAACAACAAAAGGTTAGAATGATGAATCCATGTCATGATGAGTCCATGTCATGTGTACTGTGTTTTTTCTCAATGTCAGAAACTTTTCATTGTTGTATACCTTACCTAGCATAATTATGTAATCTCGGTGGGTTAACTAGATTTACTGAACATATAATAAGGCTTTCTGGGAGAAAACACAGACTCAGGAAGTCCTGTGGATTAGCAATGTGACTTCCTTCTAAAAAAAAGCCCTCATGTGAGGTGCCACTAGCTCCTGTTGAGCAACCTGCAGAAAGAGTCACTGTTGGAATGGAACTGAGCTGTGGTAACTGTGCAGCAGCCTAGATATTTGACCTCATGAAATTATTTTGGAGTTGGAACTAGTTTTTAATGTTTTCTCCTCCCCTCTTCCAAGGGTGGATGTAGTAAGTCACACATGTAGTAAGGCATGTGAACCCTTTCAAGTCACCGGTCCAGATGGTTCGGGGGGCACCCCCAGCAAGTGGGACACCTTTGAGAAGACAGACACTTGGCATTCAGGTCTGTGAGAAAGAAGCAAAACAGTCACTAAAAAAAAGAGATGGGGTCAGGTGTGGTAAGCACGCCTGCAGGCTTGGCTATTCAGGAGGCAGAGGTAGGATGATCATAATTCAAGGCCAGTCAAGCAAAGTTACATTGAGACATTATCTGAAAAACAAACTAAAACCAGAAGGGACTGGGGGCGGGGTCAAGTGGCAGAGCACTTGCCTAGTGTTGGGTGTGAGGACCTAAAGGGCAGATGGATGAGTCAGTATCCCATCCCTCATGGAGAGCACTATGAGCCCTGCACCCTGAGGAGATACAGGGCCTCATAAATCTGCCACGGGGCTGATAGGATGCTCTCAAGTTTGTTTCTCCCTCATAAGGAGCTAAAAGACCAGCTCATCGAAGAGAACCCGCATGTGTAAATCCATGGCCAATGCAAAGAACCTAACCCTTACCCTAACCCAGAGCTAAAGTGTCCATAAAAAGTCCCAGCCTTCATCTGAGCAGGGAGCCACAGGTTTCCAGGCTCGGCTGCACTGCTCTAGCTGTAGCCTTTCCTATTTCTCCAATAAATCCTACTTTGTGTACCAGCCTTGTCTCACGAGCCAATTCTTTGGCCTTTGAAGGCAAGAACCCTTCACACCTGCCCACTGAACCCTTCCCACCAGCGTGTAACACTAGCAAGCTTGAGGCTCTGGATTATATCCCTAGCACTGCAAAACATAAAAAAAATTCAGGCCACAATTGTGGTCCTTCTTGGAGCTAGTGGCTGCTTTGGTGCCAGCAGGAACTCTGGCCACCATAGAAGAGCCTCCTTGAGACTGCCCTAGGACCTTGCTTACCCATTTGTGAATGGGGTCACTGTGACTCTCCAGGCACAAATCCATCTGGAGCCTGGGAAGAAGCTCCTCAGACTAGCCATCAGTGGCCGCAGTCCCACTGCTTCTTTCTCTGCCCTTCTGTCCTTATCATAGTTGGCACCAAGTCAGGAATGAGATAAAGTCCTCATTGTCCTCCACACCCCTTGCCCCAAGCTGTTTCTCTGGCAATACTGAAATAAACAGCCCTTTCAGAGCACGTGTTTACAAGGTACTGATAAACAACTCGAGCAAGCTGGTGGAGTGGCTCAAGTGGTGAAGTCTTGAGTTCAAACCCCAGTGCCACCAAAAAGCCAAAACTCAAGCAAAAGCAGCAGTGCCTTCCCAGAAGGCTGAAACAACACAGAGAGCCCCACTACTGTGTTACTCAGTGCTGCAGCCAGGGGTAAGTGAAGGGCTTCCTGAGCAGGGAGGCCCAGTAGGACAATGGGGATTCCCAGCCTAGAGGCCACAATGAACCCTTGGCCCAACTGGAAAGAGGCTGTGTGAACCCATTTGTGTAAGAATTGGGGTATGCACCAGGCTGAGGATTTCTGGCCACCTGCTCTACCTCTGGCAGGCCTGGGTGGAGGGCAGACAGAATGGGCTCTTGGGCTTCCTAAAATGGACCCAGTCTCAGAGTCCTGTCCCTAGCTGTCTGTGCAGAAGGAATCTTTTTTTGTTTTTGGTGGTACTCAGAACTCAGGGTCTACACCTTGAGTCACTCCACCAGCCCTTTTTTGTGTTATTTTCGAGATAGGGTCTCACGAACCATTTGCCAGGGTTGGCTTGAACCGCAATTCTCCTGATCTCTGCCTCCATAATAAGGATTACAGGCATGAGCCACAGTCAGAATCAATTTTCTAGAGAGTCAGGAAAGGTTGACGCAGCACACAAAGCTCAGCCACCCCTAAGTCCTCAGGTCAACGTCCAGTGCTGGGGGATGGACAGGCCTGCTGAGGAATCCCATGACTCACTTCCCAAAAATGATGCGGGTCTTTCTCCACAGCAGAGTCCAAATGCCCCAGGGGGTTGCAAATCAGTAGTGGGGGCACACAGAGTCAGGATGGAGGTAAGGAAATCCTGGGCCTTTATTTTCTCTACAGAAGCCACTCCTGTCCTGATGTCTCTGGGGTGGGACCCGAGATTAAACATTAATTGCCTCTGTGCCCCCCAGGGCCACACGCTACTTATATAAGCAATCAAGGCTACTGAATCCATCTGCCCCTATCCTTAAGTTGGGCAGAGGCGGTGTAGGTAGGGGTGGCACCGTCCGATCGGGCGCTAACGGCCCCCACTTCCAGGTCCTGGCAGCGACCCCCCCAAGCCCCAGCTTCATCTGTATTAAGAAGTCAAGCTACAGTTCTCAAAGCGCTTTTGTGACAGGCGACTTTGCTGCGATTTCCAGCCCGCCCTGATTTCCAGGAGCATCCAAAAGGACTCCGGTTTTCTCGCCGCGCTGCGGAAAACTGCCAGCTTAACTGTCCGCGGCCCGCAACGCATAGCCTACGTAGACGAGTCTAGCGTTCTCTCACGCCACAGGCGAGCATGCGCAGTCGCTGACAAAAAAAAAAAACCCCACAAACCCGCAGGCCCGGCCCCGCCCACGCCCTCCTCACCCAGGCCTATCATTGGCTGTCTGCGCCGCGCTTCCTCAGCGCTGCGTAGCTAACCAGTGGGGACGTACGTGGGCGTGGCCAAGGGCGGACCGGCCAGGTGCACCAGCTCCCGTCCATTGGCCGGCTGGGCGAAGGGAGGAGCCGCTGGCTCAAGCCGCTGCGATGAACTTGGGAAGACTGAGTCGCCTGCTGAAGCCGGCGCTGCTGTGCGGAGCTCTGGCAGCGCCTGGTCTGGCCGGCACTATGGTGAGCGCCGCCTGCCGGGGACGGTTGGGGAGGGCGCGGGGACCCTGGCCGTATGATTGTGGGCGCGGGGTCGGCGTCTTTCCACCCTCACCGACCCAGCCAGACCAGGCCTCGCGCGGACGCAGTGACCTGCCTGGTCTCGCTGTCCGTGGCAATCCAGGTCGGGACTGAGTATTAGGGTCTGGTTACGGTGTCCCAAGATGGCGGCGGGGATCGGGGTCGAGGTGGCCCGTCAGTAATGGCAGGGGACGTTGAACCGTAGTGGGTCATTGCCTGGGGCCGGGGGCCGGTGTTGGGCTGGCTTGGGTCAGGGGGTCGGTTAGTCAGGGCAAGGGACATACAGCTGTGCTGGGGGCCGGTGCCTGGGACGGCGAGCCAGGGCTGGGCTGCAGGGACCCCACATAGCAACCCCGGACCGAAGAAGGCCGCAGCGTCGAGAGGCTGGGTGGGTGTCTTAGCCCTAGCGAGAGTGTATATCGGGGACACCCCTGGGGCTGGAAATCAGTCACGCGCCCCGCCCCCTCCGCCTGCACCCTGCCGGGCGCCGTGCGTCATAATTCCCGGTGCAGCGCCCAGGCTACTACAGGCCTTTTATCCCCGAGCTGCGCTCGACCGGCCCACACGGGCCGGCATGTGCCGCGCCGGCGCGGGCTCCGCGAGGCGGTGCAGGCAGCGGAGCCGGTGCCCCTGCGGCCGGCGGAAGCCGGGTCCCCGACGCCAGGCTCGGAGGCGCCAGGCTCGGAGGCGGCGCAAGGCCCGTGCATGTCACAGGAGGGCGAGCCCGGAGCGGGCGGTGCAGGAAACCCAGGACAGCAGTAGCTGCGCCAATTTTTGGACCTGGTGTGCACGGGACCTCCATCCCGGCAACTACTTCAGGCTGTCCTGTGGTGGTGGGGGAAGCGGGGGGCGGGGAACGCGTGCGCACCTAAGTAGGAAGTATTCTAGCACCCTGGTTTCATAGGCATCAGTCTGCCCGGGACCCTTTCCTCCCTGGGGACCCCGGGGCAGGCCGCCACTCAACCCCTTTTGCTTTGAAGTGCGCGTCCCGCGATGACTGGCGTTGTGCTCGCTCCATGCACGAGTTCTCAGCCAGGGACATAGATGGGCACGTTGTTTGCCTGGACAAGTACAAGTAGGTGTCTGTCCATGGTAGGTGTGGGTCTGCCTGGGAGGGGAGCCTCTGATCTCCACTGACCACTGCTCACTCCTTCCAGGGGCTTCGTGTGTATCGTCACCAACGTGGCCTCCAAATGAGGCAAAACCGATGTGAACTATACTCAGCTTGTCGACCTGCACGCCAGATATGCTGAGTGTGGTTTACGGATCCTGGCCTTCCCTTGCAACCAGTTCGGGAGGCAGGTGTGTGGCTCCCCCTTGGCTATGGTCTTGGAGGGGACAAAGGAAGGGGACAAGGTCTGGGTGTGTAGGGTGTGACACCCCCCTCCCCCCATGTCTCTTGCTGCCACAGGAGCCAGGGGATAATCAGGAGATCAAGGAGTTTGCAGCCACCTATAACGTCAAATTCGACATGTACAGCAAGATCTGTGTGAATGGGGACGATGCCCACCCACTGTGGAAGTGGATGAAAGTCCAGCCCAAGGGGAGGGGGATGCTGGGAAAGTGAGTGGCCCTGGTGGGGCAGGGATGGGGGGGACCAACAGGGCGGGGAGGCACAGGGCTAGTTCCTCATGCTTTGTGCTTCTGTTGTAGTGCCATCAAGTGGAACTTCACCAAGGTAAGGACTGGGTGGGCAGGAAAAAAGGGTCCAGAGCTCTGTGTGTGTGTGTGTGTGTGTGTGTGTGTGTGTGTGTGTGTGTGTGTGTGTGTGTGTGTGTGTGTGTGTGTGTGTGTGTGTGTGTGTGTGTGTGTGTGTGTGTACCTCCTTGCTCCCTGCCCCCTTACCCTTCCTTCAACTCTCTCTCCCTGGCAGTTCCTCATTGACAAGAATGGCTGTGTAGTGAAGCGGTATGGTCCCATGGAGGAGCCCCTGGTAGGTTCCCTTACAGGAGGCTGGTGGGTGGGGGCTGGTAGAGGTCACCCCTGACCTCACTCTCCTTACAGGTGATAGAGAAGGACCTGCCCTGTTACCTCTAGTCCCACAAACATGTGCCCCACCGAGCCCCCAAGCCTGCGCCCTTGGAGCCTTCCCTCCGGCACCCATGACGGCCTGCCTGCAAACCAGCCTGCTGGTGGGGCAGACCCGAGGACCTGGCGTGCACTCGCCGGAGGAAGGTCCCGTGCCCGTGGGCTCGGGTTCGAGTCCCACCCTGGCTGCCTTGTGGGAATAAAACAAACGTAGAAATTGACGTCTATGTCCTCCTCCTTGGTGGTGGCTGACCCACAGGCTGGGCTAGAGTGCAGATCTGGGTCACCTGGTCATGGCCCTTGCTGATCCCTGAAGCCCTGCCCAGTGTGAGCAGGATCTACTTCTAGCTGAGTAAGTCTTTTAAGTAACGGCTCATCCTAGCCTGTGTCCTCTCCATCTCTCGGAAGCAGCAATCCCACCAGCCTAACCTGCCGTGGGCTCTGAGTCAGATCACACAAGCCTGCTCTTGGGTTACATTTGTCCCTTGGTGTGTGTGTAGGATGGGGTGGAGTATGGTCCCTTGCCTTCACCTTGGGGAAGCTGAGCCTACAAAGAGGCAGGTGGTGTAGACTGAAAGGGGCTGAAGCCCCTGACCCTCTGGGGTCAGCAGGGCAGGGGTTATGGGTCTCAGGAGCAACTCCAGCTGGCCTCAGCTGCCTCATGAGGTCTCCTGGCTCCTGTCCCTGTGTCCCCCTTTCTGGACAGCTGTAAGCTTTGTGCTTAGAGGCCTCAGGCGGCAGAGATACCCAGCTTCTGGGTCAGAGGCCAGATGGTGCCAAGAGATGGCCTGTCTGCTCCATTGGCTGTCCTTGAGACCTGCCTCCTGGGTCCTGGGCTGTCCCTCTTGCAGAAGCCAGTGCCCTCAGGGTGTCACAAGGAGAAATCAGGCACAGAGGCTAAGCCTCCCAGCCACACCCCCTCCACCATCCTAAGGCAGTTGGACTGGATATCCTTCCCCAGTCTGGGCCCCACCTTGTTCACACGGGGCCAGACGCTGGACAGGCTGGCAGCACTGGACAAGTTCATTGACTGGCCCACAGTCACCTCTGTCCACCCTCAGCAGGTAGCAGCCATCACCTGTGATCCCCCCTTCCACTGTCCCCACAGGCCCGAGGAGCAGACAGTGTGGCAAATAGGCAAAAGGCACATATATTTTAAAAAACGTTTTTACATTATATACATTAGAACTCATTATAAATACATGTAGAAATCAAGGCGGCCCACCGTGGACTATGGGAGGGCAGGAGGGCAATAATTTAGGGAGGGAATTGCATATATTAATGGGGTCTGCCCCTTAGAGCCCCCAGTGGGGCCTGAGCACCGGGTTTCCTGAGTTTGCAGCTCTGGACCACCAGCCTCTCTTGGCTTCCAGGCGCGGGCTGCGCAGGGGAGGCATGGAGGCCCCGCCTCCTCTCCCCACAGGTCATCCTGAGTGGGCCCCCACAGTGGGCGCAGGTGTAGCCCAGCGGGGAAGGCACTGTGCTCCGGTGCCCTCAGTAGTTGCGGCCTCCACAGAGGCTGCCTACGATGGCGGGACGGTTGTGGTCTTGGGGACACCAGGCAGTCTACCTAGGAGTTGGAGAAAGGTGGACTGAACTGGATGACACTCTGCCGCTCCGGGCCCCCGCCACCTGCGGCCCCTGCACCCAAAGGGCCAGGGGGCTCTGTGGGTCCAGCATGGAGTGAGCGCAGCATGTCCTCCAGCACCTCCCTGAAGTTGATGTCGCAGCCCTGGTGTGCCAGAGATTCGGGGTCAGCCATGGCTCCCTGTGCACCCAGCAGCAGTGTGCCCGGGTCTGGGGGTGGAGGCGGGAAGGCGAAGCGTGGTGGTTGGGGGGGCGGGAAGGCCTCAGCTGGTGGGCTGTAGGTCAGATCCAGCACCTCACAGGGGCCACAGGGCAGTGTGAGCCGTGGGGTGGGCGGCCTGGCTGGGAGGTCTGGTTCACGTGTGCTCCTGCGCTTGACATCCGCATCCATCACCCGCAGCTCCTGTAGCACACGTCGCACACAGCCCTCGGGAATCTTGATGCCTGTGTTGGGTGCACAACGTGGGTCAGCAGCTCCCCAGGAGCTCCCCTGCACTGCACCTGCTGCCCATCTGGTCCACTCACCCACTTGCTTCTTCTTGTCCTTGGTCTTGAGGCGCACAATCTGTAGGTAGCTACTGCTGCTGACATCTGCCATGACAGCAGCTATCCGGCCCCACACACGAAGCAGCGCTCCGCACAGCATGTAGTGGTGCCTTAGGCGCAGGCCTTGCGAGCAGTCCTTGCCTTCCTGCACCAACCGGCAGTGCTGGTTCCTGCAGGAGGAAAGATGGGTCCACAGGTCAGCTGGGTGGGGCCACGCCTGCATGCATCTCTGGATCCCTTGCTGCATATGCCCATGTCCACCCCTACAGCGAGGGCCTGGAGAAGGGACTAGGGAGGAGGGGCCCTGGATGCCATTAGCCAAAGGTCATCCCCTTCTGTGGGCTTCTTGTCCCTCACAGTGCTGGATCCCCATCCCCTGCCTCCCGCTGGTCCTTACCAGGCGGTGTGGCTGCAGTGCGTCAGAGAGAAGGCGTAGCTGCTTTCCCAGTGCTCCCTGGCCGCCTCTGGGTTGACCTGGGGACACACAGCAGTGAGCCTCTGCACCCAGCTTCCCATGTTGGAAAGTGAGGCTCAAGCACCCCAAGGCCAGCTCCACCAGTGTCCCTTCCTAGCTGCCACACCTAGAACTGGCCTGAGGGCCAAAGGTGTCCCCAGGGTGAAGGACATGGAATAATAGGGACAGACTGAGGGTGACTAGCTCTGGCCCCCTCCTTACCCGGTGGAACTTGCGGCACAGGCTGTCCAAGGTCTCCAGCTGGCTTTGCCGACCTATGTTGGGCTTGTACACAGTGAAATGCTTGCCTCGGTTCTGTTCCGCCAGGAGGCAAGTAGGCTTGTTGCCACGTACCTGGGGAGGGGAGTGGTGAGGTAGGGCTCAGAGTCTTTGGGCAGGCAAGGCTGGCTGCTCATTAGGAGTGGGGCCCCTGGGCAGGTCCCATCCAGTCCCCCATCTGCTCTGAGCAAGGCCAAGCATGCAGGAATGCTGCTCAACTCCCTCCCACCTTGTAGGAGAGGTAGAAGCCATCATAGGGACCCGTCAGCTCCAGCGACTTGGCAAAAGCCTCTTCCCACTTTAGGCCACGGTCCACACTGATCTGTCACGGCAGGTGGGATGTTAGTGGATTAGAGGTGTGGTCAAGGAACACGAACTGGGTGGCTTCCTGCTCACCTTATAGAAGACCACCTGCCCATCCTGTGGGTGCCCAGGGGCCAGGAACACTTGCTGGCTCTCCTCGTAGATCTCATCGATGCCAGGAGCCAGGTCTGGGAAGAGGGTGGACCATGAGTAGCAGTCAGCGAGCCTTGAGACTAGGGGTTCTTGCCCATGGGTTAACCTTGGGGCATGGTGGACCTGCACTTTGTGGGCTGCCACACAGCTGGGGCACATCCCAGAGGCAACTCCTAGGTGGGCACAGTGGAGCAGACACAGCCTGGCCCAGACACACCCACTAGGTCAAGCAGGTACAATGCAGGTCACATGTACCTGCCTTCATCTGCATAGCTGCCCTAGGGGGATTATATGAACTGGCACCAGCAAACTGCAGTTCACGGTTTTTATGAATAAAGGGTTTTTTTTTTGTGGGACTGGATTTTTTTTTTCCCATAGGCTTGGTGAATCCAGGGCCTTGTACATGCCAGGCAGGAGCTCTACTCTTGAGCCACTCCCCCAGTATAAAGCACCTGGCCCAGACCATTTATACCATCGTCCACAAAGTAGCCAAGACTGCCTGGCCCAGCAAGGCTGAAGGTGCCGCCTCTCTGGCCCTTGTCAGAAAGGTATGCCTGACCTTGGATTTACAACTACCCACATAGACATCACGAAGGCCTGGGGGTTGTGTGGACCATGATCCTTTAGGACAAAAGATGAGCACACATTGGGCACTATGCCATGGGCTTTTCATCTGAAGCTTGAGTTCCATGAATCATGGCCTCACAGGGAGAGCCCTCCCTGAGAACCTTGGGGTTTCAGTGCCCATCGCATGCTTCTGCACTCACCCAGGATGCCCATATCGTATCTGCCTTCCTTCTTGTCTGCCTCAATGAGGTGGTCGAAGGTGTCAGAGAAGTACTGGAACAGTGCATTCTGTTTGTGCACTTCCAGCCCCAGGATGCGGTTCAGGAACTTGGCGATGGAACAGTCTGGAGGTAGGAGGGGCCATGTGAGGCTGTGGTGTCCAGCTGCTCCCCCACTTCTACCAAGGGATGTAGATGTGGGGACTCACCCTTCTCCACATCCAGGCAGCCTGACCGAGACTCACGTCCACCGATGCCAACCGACAGCAGGCCCTGCTTCATGTCTGTGGGAAGGGGCCTTTCACACTGACTCTCAGACCCCCAGGAGGCTGCCCCAGTCCTCCCGCAGGTTCCGTGCTCCGTCCCCAGCCCCCTGTTCTGCCTGGCATCAGAAGCATCCATGAGTGGCTGCAGATGATGCTGGACAGGGTGTTGGTTGGGGGACGGTCTGACTCCTTTATTCTTCCAGGACAAGATAAGAGTTCTTGGGAACATACCCAAACCCCTTGTCCCTGGGCCCCAGGCCCTAGTGGCTGCTGGGCTCCCTCTTCTATCCACATCCCCTTGTGTGTGTGGCAGGGGGAATGGTCTTTCAACACAAAACCAGTATACAAGCTCCAGTCCCCCAAACCACACTGGAATCTGCTGCTCTACCCCCTCCAGAGAAAGACTGGTGAGCCCCAGCTCACCCCTGAAGAAGGCGGCGTCCCCTCCAGGGTAGCCCTGTGGCAGGGGCACCTTGTTGTCTGTCTGGCTCAGGATGGTGGTAAGGATGCAGCTGAGGGCCCGGGCGCCATACTGGGGAACAGGAGTGGGTAAGTTGGGGAGCTGGGGTGGAGGCTGGCCACCTCCACCCATTCCCTCCCTGAGGTACCTTGTTTTCAAAGTTGTACTTGCTCAGGTCCCGGGACTCAGTGGCACGGCGGTCTCCATGGGTCAGGGCCCCCTGTCAGGGTGAGGGAGGGAGTCAAGCTTGCTGCCCAGGCTGTGACCTCCCCAGGTCATGGGGAGCATTCCCTGGCCTGTCTCAGGCCCCAAAGCCCGCCTGCTCACCAGGCTCTCTAGCCGCTTGGCAACAATGGAGGCAAACCGGCGCTCCCCAGCCAGCTCTGAGATGAGGAAGACGTATTCGGGTGCTGAGACCTGGTTGGAACGGTGGGTGCGGCCTGGAGAGCAGAGGGGGTCCTCAGGGACTGAACTACAGGGCCACTGGAATGAGGCCAGTTGGGATGGAGGCCAGGCTCACCAAACTGCTGGATGGCACGGTCGGCACTCCAGGGAAGCTCAAGTGTCATGTGGACACGGCGCCGCTGGTTCTTGACCCGGCGGTCAGCTTGGAGGGAGACGCCGGAGCTGGAAGCCTCGGAGATGATGGCTACGAGCTGGGGGTGGGATGGGTCGGTACACTGGAAGGGGGTGCAGGTCCCTTCCTGTCCTGTGCTGCCCAGCAGGCTGTCTTTCTCCTCACCCCACTCAGTTCTAGGTCCCCAGGTAGAATGTGACACATGTCCACAGGACACACAGGGGATAGAGAGGAGGGCAGGAAGGCCTGGGGAGGGGGTGGGTCACCATTCATACACACATAATAAGTACATAGGTGGGGGCAATCTAACCAATGTACAATGTAAGGCTATTTGGAATTGGCACAATGAATCACACTTATATAATGAATATATCTTAATAAAAATGAAAAAAAAAAAACATACTTTGCCAACTCTTAGGGCACACTGAAAAAAAAAAAGTACACAGGTGTATCCCTCTACCTTTTCAACATGAACACATGGATGCACACACACACACACACACACACACCCCTGCAAGAGCACACCAGTACATATACACACATCTGCACCAGTATGCAGGTGCACACTCCCCATACACACACCTGTACAAGCAAACAGGTGCACACACACCTGCCTGAATACATGCACTTTCATGCTGCACATGCAGACACTTGCAGAGAGCTAGAGTGTTCTGTGGTCCTTGGAGCCTTGGGTCTCCTGATATCTTCGATCACAGAACTGCCTCAGCTCCTTCACACTGGGCCGTACCTTCTCACCACTCATGAAACGCTGCTTCTCCCTGAGGTTCACGTGGTCGATGGATAAGCCTTGTTCTGCTCGTGACTCAAAGGCCACCGTCCCATCGGGCCTGGATACAACACGGCCTTTTCTGCCAGTCATCTGTGGCCGGGGAGAGAATTAGCTGTTAAGAGAGTGGTAACCCAGGGGGTGGACCCTGTGAGCCTGCTTCACTGTCTCCGCACTGAGGACCAGGGTCCCAGCTGCTGGGCTCTGTGCTGGGACTCAATCTCGAATGTTGTCTCATCTGCCCACAGGGATTCTCATCCCATCCAAAGTCTTTCATCACCAGCCACCTGGTATCTGAGGTGAAACAACATGTCAGGCTGGGAGGCAGCAAAGGAAGCCAGGGCTCCCAGGCCCCTAGGCATGCACAGATGAAGCTGGGGCAAAGCCTAGGGCAGGTCAGGCAGGGTCTGGGGTTAGCCTGGCCTCCTGAGCTGAGCTGGACAGTGTGGACTCCGTGGCCCAGACTGCTCCTGTCCTAGGAGCCATTGGTGACACAAGGTGACCAGCAAGGGCCACCAGAGCCAGTCAGTGAGGCCCAGCCACCGTGCTCACCTCGGCCACGCACTCAGGGCCTCCGAGTTGGTCGATGAGCTCATCCAGGGTGTTGACCGGCAGTTCCCGGCCTAGAGCACGCACTTTGGCCAGCAGGTCCTGCTTTAGCCGCTCCACACGCTCCAGGACACCAGGGCCATGTGGGGGGCACAGGGGACCTGTGGGGAGGGGATGGGTGTCTAGGAGACTCAGCCTCACATGCCACATGGCCCCTCAGGGCTAGGATGAGTGGCACTGCAGGGAGCCTGGGTGGCCAGGCGTCCTGCCAGGTCTGAGGACCAGCAGGTGGATGCAGGCCCAGAGGCATGATGAAAACTGCTCTCCTCCTTCCTAAGAGACCAGCTGGGCACACCTTTGCCTCACCTGGGCCCAAACTGCCTGACTTGAAGCTGGCTTTGCCTCTGAGCAGTGGTGTGGCCCTGAACTCGCTTTCAAGCCTAGTTTCCCATCTGTAAAGTGAGCATCAATCCCTCAGGTGGGCAAAGCTCTGAGGATGAGCTGGGTGGCGAGGCCTCTCATGTGGGCTGCATTCACTGCCAGAAGGCAGGGGCCCAGGACTCTGATTAGGTGACATGGTGAGACTCACCTCGGTCATCCATGGGGAGCCCAGTGGCATCCACAATGACCACGTCGTCATCTACTAGGGACTCAGGGGAGGAATTGAAGTCGCTATCCAGGCCGGGGTCTGACTCAGTGCTGCTGTCATCACTGATGCGGATCACACCCGTCACATCCAAGGCCAACTTGGAGACCTTGGCCCCGCGTCCCCTTGGTCGCCCTGTTGGGGAAGTCATGGATCATGCACCAGACAGGATGTAGGGGCAGAGAAGGGGGCAGAGATAAGGTAGCTGAGCAAGAGAAGCCAGGGGGGCTGAGTGGGGGCCTGTGAGGGAGCTTGACTCTCTAACTGGGTAGGGACTCACTTGGGGAGATTGCCATGTGCCATGACCCTGCCTGCTCCTCCACCAGATGACTATGCTTCATCTGGTGTGGAGGACACGCGGTGTCTTTACTTACTGCCAGCAGCGTTTGGCTGGGATGGTGTGTCACACTGCTGCTATACAGCCGCCCTGAAGTCCTGGCTTGTGGAAAGTAGGAGGGGGTGTGAGTGGGCATTGGGGGCTCCAGAGGTGAAGAGTCCCTCATGCCTGGCTGTGTGGCCTCAGGTGAGTTATGTTTGGCTTCCTATGTGAGCTGGAAGGATAGTGGGCCACACAACCTGATGTGTGCTTTTTGGGGCTCAGGGGAGTCACTCAGCCTCAGCTAGCATGTACAGGGCTGGCTTTCATCTGGAAGCCCAGGCAGTATGTGGAGCCTGGAAGTCCTCACCTGCCTGCTGAGGGATGAGGCTAGAGGCCAGGCATTGCTGGTGCTAGGGACCAGCTGCATCACCCTGACAGCAACCTGGCTGTTGCAAACGGGGTGGCCAAGCTGCTGGGGATCAGACATCAGGGAGGACTGACTGGAGGCTATGTCTGTTGGATTTCTCTCCGGGAACTTGCCCTAGTGATCCTGTGCTGTCCCCAACAGGTGTCTCTGTATGCTCTGGCTGCAGGCAAGCAGCCAGCCCTGCCCACTGGGTGACTCTGGGCCTCTGGCAGAAGAACCCCAGCCAGCTGGCATACGCCAGCCTACGGTGGGACACAGCCTTGGGGTGCTCTGGAGCCAGAGCAGGAGTAGGGAGTAATCAGTAGCCTGGGAACAGGCACAGAAAACAAAGGCAAGCAGCATGTGAGGGTGGGCAGCAGAGGCCCAAGCTGCAGGGACTCTTACGTTTCCTCTTACTGCCCCCTCCTCGGTCCCGCTTCCTTCTGGTGGAGGGAAAATGCTTCTGGATCAGGGACAGGAAGACGCCTCTATGAAGGGAGAAGGAGAATTCATGCTCCAGCAACCTTGGCCATGTGCACAGAGGGCTTGGAGCCGGAGCTGGAGCTTAGAGATGTTCAATGCTCCAGGGCTGGACTCAAAGAGGTGGGAGGGAGCAGCGAGGGCAAGTCAGACATAGGTGTCCCCACTGCAGGAGTATAGCTTGGATGCAATGGGCAGGAAAGACGTGGGCAACTGGCCACAGCTTTCCCTCCACAGCTCTCTACTTCTTGCCACAAGGCCTTGGAGGAGCAAGGGGAGACGAGATGCGATGGCTTCTCAGACTGGGACCTGGGGGCTGAGGAAGGTGCTGGGGGTCCTCAGTCAGGCATGGACTATGAGGAGAAGCCAGGACAGCTGGGACCTTCAGTGGGGCAGGCTGCAGTGGACTGGGGTGAACCCTGGAAGGGAGTAAGGAGGCTGTGGTGGGGGAGTACAAGGGCCAGTCCTGAAAACCTGTGGAATCTTGTTGAAGAAGCAATTCTCCATGTGGGGTCAGCACCCAAAAAGCCTCCTTCCGAGACCCTAGAAACCCATCCAATGCCCCCTGAAGACCTGCCAGAGCTGGGAAGCTCACCATGTTTACTTTCTCTAGCTTTAAAACGAGCTGGGCTTAAGGTCTCTGAGAACTGAGGTTGGCATTTGACAAAAAAACCCAAAAAACCCTGGGTCCTCATTCTCAGCTGCCAGGGGCCAAGGGGACAGGGCCAGGCCATAGCTTGGGCCACAGGGATCCCAGCCTGCTGAGGCACTATCAGGTCCCACAGGGATAAGGTGGCTGCCTTAAGTGCCCATCCCCACCCCCAACCAGGTTACTTACTCAGCAGCTGAGACAAAGCAGTTGAGGTGCCCCTCATTCTCGTCCAACACCTCTCGGGTCCGCGCCTCTCCTGTGGACTGCAGTCCGATGACTACACACTGGGGACAGGGTAGCTCTGAGCTAGGCTCCAGAGTGGCAGTCATGTCCAACCCACACTCTGCTCTGGAGTGCTCACAAGTCTCCCCTAGGTGAGGGTCCCAGGCTTACTCAGACAGTGACAAATGGGAGGTTGGCAGATTTCTGTATTCGCCCACCCTGCAGCCACAGTCTTGGTGTCCCCGCCAACGGACACCCTGTTTGACTTGAGCAGGACTTATGATAGAACCCAGGTGCCGGATGCCTACCAGGCAGCACCCCAGGCATCTCTAATGCCCCGCTACCCTCAGGAGGACAGAAAAACCTGGCACAGCTGGGACCTCTGGGGCAGGGGTGACCAGCTGAGACAGTGGGCATCCACTCCTTCAGCCCTCCCACTACCTGCTCGAGGTCACTGGGCTTGCTCACCTTGTCATGGGCCAGTTCCTCACGAGCTAGCTCCACCAGCCGGCGCACCTTGGCAGCAATGCATAGGTACTTGAAGAAGCGCTGGTGTGCTGACCAGAACTGACCCCAAAGGGACTTGCGTGACTCCAAGCCGATCCAGTCAGCTGCCTGCTGGAACACCCCAAGAGCCTCTGCCCACTGCAATGATAAGGCGCCAGATAAGTTCTTGTCCTACTTCTCTACCTGCCCAGGCCTAGTCACCCACTAGCAAGTCCTGAGCCGGCGGCTCCCAGGCCCAGCAGAACCTTGGCTGCTATGAGGCACTGTCTGTATCTGTACAGTGAAAACATAAAAATCAAAACACAGGGCTGATTAGAGTGTCTGCCTAGCATGTAGCAGGTCCTGGGGTTGATCCTCAGCCCCACAAAATAAAAAAGAATAAAAAATAAATAAACCAAATCATGGAGTGGTGGCAGAGGTGTGGTGGAAGTGGCACAGCTCTTCAGAATGGGACAGAAACATCTGCAGTGTCTGCCTCTGTGGCGTCCATTAGCCCACTTGTCTTTATCCTTTGAGGTGCAGGGGATGGAACACAGGACCTGATGCATATTAGGTAGGCTGTCTGCTCACCATTGAGCTACACCCTAGCCTTTAGTCCACTAATGTTAACTTTAGTCCAGTGGTCTCAGTGGGACAATTTGGTCCCCAGAAGACCTTGGTAATGTCTGGGGACACTGTGCTGTCACAGCTGTGGGTGCTCCTGGAAAGGAGCAGGTGGAGGCCAGAGGTGCTGCAGTATCCATGACACCACCACAGAGAAGGATCCAGCTCCTGAATGTCCACAGTATGGAGGGGAGGCTCTGGGTGTGACCTAAAGAAATTCTGACACAAAGGCAGCACTGGGCCAAAGGCCTGTTCCTGACCAGTGTAAGAAACAGGAATTTGTCTGAATAGTGATGGACACCCTAAACAGAGCCACTTGGCTCTGGGCCATGCCTGGAGCAAAATGCTCACGAGTCCTGGCAAGTGGGGGTTCAGGGGTCCCATCCAAGGCCCACAGTATTGGTCACATACAAGTCCCCAACATGGCACAGGATAAATATGCTGGGCTTCTGTATGAGGCAGGTGCCTGCTTCCTACCTTGAGTAATTTTACAAATGCTTGTGGTGTCTTATGGACTAGATGCTGGAGGCTAATGGGTATGACTGTGACTGACCCAGGGACCCAGGGAAATGTATGGGGGGGGTCCCTGTGCTCGGACCCCCATCATTGTGACCATAGAAATGTCCCTGGCTCACCAGTAGGGCTGCCCGATTGTAGACGTGTTCGAAGGCGGGGGGCAGCGGGATCTCCTCGATGCGGAAGGTGACCCCAGAGAAGCTGAGCTGGCGTGCTATGTACATACCGCTGACCTTCATATCCATGGCCACAATCTCCATGGCACCCACGCCCCTGCAAATGGGCATGAGCCTCCTGAGCACTGGGTCCCACCAAAGGATGGAGCCACTTCAGGGAGGGTGAGAAAGAACCGGGTGTATAGAGAGCAAAGAACACATGCAAAGGCCCTGTGGCCCTCTAGGAACACATTGAAGCTCAATCTAGCAGGGGACCTGTGGGGTCAGAGCAGGAAGCAGGAAAGGCTGAGAAGAGTCTGGGGACCTAGCAGGGAGGGAGCTTATCTCCCCGAGAGTGACAAGAAGCCCTAGACAGAGAAAATTTGTGATTTATGTTTTAATATCCCTCTGGGTACCTGTGGAACCTGATATGTGACCTCAGGGGGCTGGGCAGGGAAGGGGCTCACCTCTTCTCGACGGCATGCAGGAACTCCTCAAAGGTCCGGAAGGGTGTACCCTCACCCCAGATGCCCAGGCGACTCATATAGATCATGTTCCGGGGCTCAGAAGCACCTGGGTGGTGGGTGTGGGGAGCTGTTGTCAGCTCCTCTCAACCCAGCCATGAGGTGGCAGTTGTGTCTATGAGGCTAGGTAGGGTGCAGAGGCTGGGACATGACCCCAGGGAGGTCCAGGTAAGGGGGTCTGATGCTCTGGCCAATGTTCCCAGGGGTACCTGCCTAGGTTGGCCAGAGCCTGCTGGCAGAGCCCCTGATGAGGTTAGTATGGCTGGCCTGGGGATAGCAAGCTCTGTCCTTGCCCCAGGCCCTGAGAAGTGGGGTGCAGACTGAGGGCTGTGCATAGTTTGCAAGGATGCCCCCTCTTCCAGTCCTGCATCAGGGCAAACATCACAAATAGATGCTGGGCATGCTATCCAGCTAGTCCACTGAGACTCCATGCTGTTCTCAGAACTAGTGGGGGTCCCCACGCCCCCTACCTGTTGCGCTGGCATAGACCACCCTGGCCAGAGGCAGCTTGTTCTGCAGGTCCAGGACAGCCTTGCCCATCTTGGTGGAGCTGGCATTCTTGGCTTTGTGGCACTCGTCAAACACGATCTGGGGTAGGTATGGGTTAAGGAGTATTCCAGAAGAATGGTGGGCAACCTGAGTCAAATGACCTAGAATGATGGGAACTCCAAAACTCATGTCCAGGATGCCTGTCAACTGTGGAACAAGGGAGCACCTTGGGGTATGAGGTCCACCCCACAATTGCTCGTGTCACATGATGCAGTCAGTGTTAAAAAAACCATGGCATTGAAGGCTAGGGTGTGGCTCAGTGGTGAGCACTTGCTCATGAGGCCCTGGGCTCTAATTTCCAGCTCCACACAAAAATCAAAACCAAAAAACCCCCAGCTTTGATCCAGACATGCGCACAAAGAGGCATAGGGCAGGGGGCTTCTGGTTCGAAGACGGACTGTGGCCACCTCAATACCCCTACTGTGATAGTTCCAACCTTACAGGCCATAGACAGGGGTTAAGGACACTCAGAGGCAACTATTGGTGGCCATGCCTATCATCTCAGCACTCAGGAGGCTGAGATAGGAGGATGGAGTTCTAGGCCTGCCTGAGCTACACAGTGAGACCCTGTGTCAAAACAAAACAACCAAGTCAGGCACTGGTGGCTCATGCCTGTAATTCTGCTACTCAGGAGACAGGGATCAGGAGGATTATAATTTGAAGCCAGGAAAATAGTCTGCAAGACCGTATCTTGAAAATACCCAACACAAAACAGGGCTGGTGGAGTGGCTCAAGTGGTACCCCAGTACCATCAAAAAAAAAAATTTGAAGAAAAGATTTGAAGATGTTCTTAATATCTCAAGAAATCAAGTAACAGAGGAGGAGTATATACAAAGAAAGAGCTGAGCGAGGAGACATGGGAGAGTACAGCTAAAAGAGCTGAATGTGTTGTCAAGCACATGGATCACCAAGGATGTAAGGATGTTACTATTGCTTATTTTAAGTTTTTGGTGGTACTGGGGTTTGAACTTAAGGCCTCACACTTGCTAGGCAAGTACTCTACCACTTGAGTTGCACTCCCAGCCAGGGTTGTTGCTGTTACATTTTTGGGCTAAGATCCTGCTGTAGGTGGGGAAAGCAAGTGGGGACAGCAACCTCAGAGTCCAATGCATCCTGTCTTCCTTGCCTCTGCCACTGAAAGGAAGGGGAGCAGGGGGATCAAGGGGACTCTCAAAGGCACTGCAGGCAGCAAGACCAGTTCCCCAACACATGGGCAATTTGATAGGACAAGAGTTGGCCTGGGGTCTAGTGCCAGAACTGGTCTGGGCACTAGGAAGGGAAACAGTGTTGTTCAATTGTTCTATCATTGTGTAGAGATGAGGTTTGTAAAAGTTTTAAGAAAAAAGTGAAGGAAAAGTGAGAAAAGCCCACTGATCCAGCTTTCTGCCAAAGCAGGTGACCCTGTAGGCCTGTGTCACTAACACCCTTGGCATTCTCCATAGAGCCAATGACACTCACCATGGGCACAGACTATGCACTGAATCTCCAAAATGGACAGTAGCCTGCCCACTGAGGAGCTAGGGGGCTGTCCCACAGTCAGTGTCACCTTCCTGCCTTTGGCAGTACATAGTGGCCACCACTTCCCCCAGTGTCATACCAAACACTACCACAGAGTCTGTGGTCACCATTAGGCTTACTACAGCCAAACAGGAGGGGTGGAGGACAAGGATGGATTGTGGGTGGTCCTTCCACACCCAGGATCTGGGCAAGGACAGCTCCACAGTGGCCAACAGTGACTAGGTAGCCTCTGCCTCTCCTTACTGGTCTGCCCTGCCCCTCCATGAGGCCCAGCTCTCTTCCAGGTATGGCTCCTCTTACCTCCCACCCCTCCCTGTCCCTTCCCTTGGGTCCTACCCCTTCCCCTCTGCAGGATACTACGCCATCGAAGGCCTCCCCACACCACTGGAGAATCTGCCGCAGGCGCGTGCGGTGCTGCCCGCCTGCTTGGCTCTCCCCGATCAGGGCAGAGTAGGTGGCAAAGAGGACGCCCTCTGAGGTAGTGTTGTCACCATACTTGATCTGCAGACAATGTAGGTGTGGAAAAGCACCTCAGTTTCCCCCTTGTGGAAGGAGTTGGGTAGAGCTGGGAGACCCAACCCCTCTGGGTGGGTTCTGCTCTACCCACCTTGCTCAGCACATGCACTGCAATGCCTGGGGCTTCAATGTCACGCAGGTCACGCTCTGCATCATATTTGAGGTCGTTGGAGACACTGAACCTGGGGGTAGGGGGGTAGCCTGGTCAGGGGCAGCTTGTACTCCACCTGCCCCTAGACCAACCCACTCAAGATGTAGGCACTCACCACAGGGCCTTCTTCCTGCCACGCAGGTAGTTCTCCACAATGATGCCAGCCACTGTGCGACCCTTGCCCACACCAGCCCCGTCGCCAATGAGGAAGCCTGCACGCTGCCCGCTGGGCAGCAGGACCTCGTGTTGCTGCCATAGGAGGGGAGGTCAGGGCCTGGGCTGCCCTGCCCTCATGCCCCTCCCTAGGGGCTTGAGGGGACAGGTGGGGTAGGGGCAAATCACCTGGCAGGCATAGGTGATGGCCTCCAGCTGCAGGGCAGACAGGGCTGTGCTATCTGAGGTGGGTAGTGCCAGGGTGTAGGTGATATCTGGTGGTGGGACGCTGGACAGTGTGCTTGTCTCCACCACCCGATCTGGGTGTTGCTTCCCGATCTTGGCTGAAGGGGTACAGGGCAGGGTTCAGAGTGTGGCCATGCAACAGGGGACCCATCAACCCCTCCACACAAAACAGGCTCAGTTCTTTTCCTGGTGTCCTTCTGCAGGACTACGCTTTGTGGATAGGAGGACTGGACCCCAGGAACCTGGGGAACAGTCCCCCGGGGTGTGTGTGGGCAGAGAGCACCCTTGGGGAATTTCCTGTGGGGTTGGGGCGGGGAGGAGCGCATCTGAGCTCCTGCTGCATGCTTGGGCACTCACACTTGGATGGAATGTAGTCAGCGTAGGTCTCTGCATGGCCCAGCTCCTCAGCAGCCTCTTCCTCCTCCTCCTCTGCTTCTTCATCCTCCCCAGGAGGGTTCCCTGACTGCAGGCATGGGTGAGAGTGCAGGGGTCCATCCTGTCCTGTCCTGGCCTCCCCAGGGGTGGGGGCTTGGCTGCCCATAGCTGGCCCAGTGAGTTGGTAGGGGAGAGGCAGTCCTACCCTTATCCCCAGGTGGTACCTCCCTGGGGTTTCAGTTTCCTTATCTGTAAAATGGGGCACTCCCTGCTTCTAGGCACTCAGGACCTGGCATGCTGCAGGTGCCTGAGCTCTGGAGACCCTTCCCTAGGTCCCCAGGGGACAAAGGCTGGGAAAGGGAGAGAGCTGGGCTAGCTGGGCTCACCTGGTAGCTGACAAGAAGCGGAGTACTGGGAAGGGAGGTCACATGGTCTTTGAGGCTAGAAAAAGGCACACTGGGCAGGAATAGCTAGAGGAAGTGAGAGCAGGACATCAGCCTTAGCCTCCAGAGCAACCTGGTCCACCGGCCAGCACCACCTCCAACCCACCTTGGCCTTGGTAGACTCCTCCTACCACCACTCTGCCACCTTGGGGAAGGTGCTCACTAGTTCTGATGGACTGTGGCTCCCACTCCAGGTCCAGGGGGAGCTGGTAGGATAGGCTAAGGACAGGCTGTTCAAGAGGCCCATGGAAGTATTGGGGACTCTAGGGTGGGAGCTCCTGGTCCAAGGAAAGGACAAGACAGAAGTCAGGTAGACTGTCTCAGTATGCAGTGAGCTAGCTACTCACCCCTGTGGCCCCAGCCTGGTTGTAGCCTTCCCTAATTGTTGGCCCCAAATGGAGGTGTGGCTCAAGTAGTAGAGTGCCTGCTTTGCAAGTGGGAAGCCCTGAGTTCAAACCCCAGTCCCACAGGAAAAAAAAGAAAAATCCCAACTGTTGGCTCCAGAACACATGACCAATTAATGTGGCCGTTAGTGGCAAAGGGGTAGGGCTGCACTCCCTGTTGTCCCCTGTTGTATGAGCCCCTGTGCTTTCCCCAGAGTAGCAGGTCCTCTGTGGATGAACTGATCAGAATGCCCAGCTGGCAACAACCACATAGAAAGATGGGGTGCACAGTGGACAGGGAGGGGCCAGTTGTACAATGCTGGCTGACCTTTGGATCAAGTCTGTGTGCCACTACTGGGACATGACCCACCTTGAGATCTGAGAATTGACTGGGTGTCCAGAACTGCAGAGGGGCTGGGACTGGACCTGCCCTGCCTACCCTCAGTTTGCACTGTGGCTGTCATTGTCTAGAGCACAACACTGAGTTCAGGTGGGCCCCAGACACAGCTAGGGTCCAGACCAGGGTCAGTGTGATTCTAAACCATGCTCCCTTAAAAAACTAAAAATCCTGACAGCATCCTAAAAACCCATGCATGAGAACAAATACAGGGGAAAGTGATTTCTAACCCAGCTCCACTGGAATCCAATGTCCCAAGAACAGGTAGGGTTTTAGCTCTGCTCTGTTGGGTCCTGTGTGTCACACACTGCTTAGAACAGCAGTATCCAAGGGTGGGTGACAAGGCTACCTAGGGCCCTGTCAAAGGGTAAGGAGCTATTCCAATTCCTGTTCTGTTGTAGGTTAGGAACACAGCCAGAGACATTTAAAGGGACTCGAAGAAGGTCTAGGAGAGTTACAAGTCCATACTCAGCTCTCTTCCTTTTTTTTTTTTTTTTTTTTGTAATTAGCAAAAACCCAAACAGACAGGTCTTGGGTTCCTGGAAGGCTGAGTAACATTCCTGACCAGGCTGGGGCAGCACTGGGGTGTTAGGTTTCAGAGGCCACACACTGTCCACTGCAGGCCAGCTGGGCCCCTGATGGGGGTGGGCAGTGCCCTCAGAGCCCAATCCTGAGTGGAGAATAGGCCTAAGTATCCCCAAGGGACTGAGGAGGTGGGGTCAGTGACAGTGCTCTGGGGGCCTCCTGTCACGCCACTGGAGACATGCCAGCCCTAGTCTAGCCCTGCAGCACTGCTGTCCAGGTTGGATCCTGCTTGTGGGTGGTGGGGCCGAGAGCTGCCCCACTGTTGTCTACAAGATCCCTCTACATTGTGGCATGTTCCTTCAGCCATGTTCTCTAGCTGGTGTGTACCCAGCTAGAGGCCCCCAAACACACTCCTAACTTATACTCTGGAAGCTTATTTCTTGCAGAGGACCCTGGAAAGGTCTGGAAGGGTGTTTCTCTCTTGGCACTGCTGAAATTAGGGTCCAGATTGTTCTCTGTGTGGCATCCTAGGCACTGCAGTATGCTGGGCAATACTCGTGGCCTCCATACACTCCATGCCAGAAGCTACTCAGTTGTGACAACCACATATGGCCCAGAGGTCCCTGGGGACAGAGTAGCCTGGAATGAGGATTAGCATCCAAAACTGCTTTTTACTTCTCCTGAGGAACCTGTCCTCCTACTAAGAACAAGGCCTCCATGATCCAGCAGAGCAGGGCGATGAAGTGTCACCTGAAAGTTGTCAGAGAGACACTGGAAGGGAATGTGGGACTGCAGCTCAGCCTCAAGGGTTTTAAGGGACCCATGAGGACCCTTGATTCATGACCTTGTGTCAGGCACACTGACCTTGTCGTTGGTGGCTGGAGCAGTGCTCACATCCCAGATGGTGGGCACCTGGTTGAGGCTGTCTGCTGGTAGGAAGTCAGGTGTGTCCGCGATGTCTGATAAGGAGTCCACAGATGAGGAGAAAATGGAGGCATTGGAGAGGTCCTCAAGGTATGAGGAATCCTGGAAGACAGGTCCAGGTTGAGGCTCTGACACATACCATGACGTGGAGGGACCTTGAGCACACACTGCTCAGTGAGAGAAGCAGATACAAAAGGCCCCATAGTGTGTGACTCCACTGATGGGAAACATCTAGAACAGGTGAATCCTGAGACAGGAAGTGGACTCATGGGTGCCATGGGTTGGGGAGGGGACAGGGTGATTGCTCATGGGGACTGGCCTCCCTTGGTATGATGGAATGTCCTAAAGATGATGACTGCATCTTAATGCATTTTAAGATGCATCATTTTCATTTTGTCTTTTTCTTTTTTGGTGCTGGGATCGAACCCAGGGCCTCGAGCATGCTAGGCAAGCACTGTACCACCGAGCTACATCCCAGCAAGATGCATCATTTTAAGATGATTTGCATTTTAATGATGAATACACGAAAACTACCACATCGTACTTTAAATGAATGAATATTACAGTATATGAATTATATGTCAATAAAATTGTTTTACACCAAAAATGAAAACAAGGGGCAGGCAAGATGCTAGATTCCACTGTGACACAGTGTACGAGAAGCTTTGTGGAGGATGGACAGTGGCCCCTCCTGTAAGGTGGTGACTGAGGTCTGCCACATGGACACAGCTATGATTTGTAAACCTAGGTTTTAAGGATGAGAGTGGTGACAGAGGGGATCACTGCAGTCTTTCATTGGAGCTTGACAGAATTGGTGTCCCCTTTGTTCAACCCACTGCCTGCCTATTACCCACTCCTGCTTATGCACCCAGTGCCTCTGTGAAACATGGAGAACCCGCTTCCATCCAGAGGCCCCCGCAGTGCCCTGCAGGTTGGGTGTCCATGTTGCCCCTCAACCCATTTTGCAGAAAAGGGACCTGGATCCAGGGCAACATTACCGAGGCCCAGGATGTGGGTGGAATGCCATCCCCATACCCTGACCCTTCAGCCATGGCTGGAGAGCAGCCTCAACCAAGTCTCCCGGCCTTGTTGCTCCCACCCTAGTCAGAGGGCCTATCATGCTGACCTTTGGTCCTTATGCCCTGGAAATATTTCTTGGCAATGCTAAGCCCAGAAGATCAGCCAAGATCATACCCAGGAGAGAGAGCAAGCTGCTGTGAGAGCTCTCCTTTCTCTGTCCTTGACAGTGGGCTAGGGAGGGGGATAAAGTGCCCTGGGGGTGGCCATGACCAGAATTCCTGATTTGAGATGTCCTGCTCCATCTGTAAGGGGCAGGAAGGACAGAGTGACCATGGGACACAGGCCCTGAGGACTCAGATTGGCAGGCTCCAGGCCATGAGGACACAGATGGGCCAGTTTTTCGGCTGGGGGCGGGGCAGTGTCTCTACATCCCTGAGGTCACTGGGGTCAAATGGCCCCTGACTTCTCCTGTCCTGTGCTTCTGCCCTCCCCCCCCTCCCTGGGCGATGTTTCTGGGACTTGTTCCCCTGAGATTCAGATTATTATTCCTGGGGGTGTGAAGGAAGGCAGGTCTCATGACTGCCCATCTTTTCCAAGGCTCCTTGCCAGTTGGTCTGGAGACAACCAGCAGCATCAGCCCCCAAGATAAAGGCAGGTCAGGCCCACCTGGTCTCCCTGAGAGTTGGGGAGGGGATGAGGCCAGGGCAACCAAGTGGCCTCCTAGGTATAGCTGAATAGGCCAAAGGGATGCACAGGCCCAAGTCCTGCCAGAAACCACAGAAGTACAAGGCCATCCATGGCTGCCAGCATCTTGAGTACATCCTTTGGACCCTGGGCCAGGTTAGTTAGCTGGCAGGAGGTTCGGAGCTTGGTTGGACACCTTGGTTCACTCCAGGACTCCTAGTCACTCCTGTTGGCAGAGGTGACTGACAAAGCTCAGGTGGCTGTAGAGAAAAGCTTTTTGCTCCTGGGACCCAGCCTAGGCCCTATCATGCACAAGGAGCAGGTTCCAACAACCTCACCCTCGGCCCATCTGTAGGGGCCTCCTCACACTGACCCTCAGCCATACCCATCCTGGACCCACACAGGGGTCTGAGTTGGCCCCAGCCACACAGATACATCCCTGGAGGAGAATAGGTCTGGCAAGCAGATGGGTGCTGCTAGCAGAACACTAGCCTTTTCCCACCCTCAGAGGTCTGGGCTAGGGTTCAGAAGATTTGTGAAAAGCCTCAGGCAAGACTGAGGTGAAAGAGTGGGAAGGGGTGTGCCTCACTGCTCCATGGGGGAAAGGCAGGGTGCCCAACATGCTTCTATCCAACTTAGCAACCATAAGGTGCCTAACTCAGGGAAAATGAGGCTCCTGCAGGACAGGGCCCTTCTCTCTGTCTGGCTCAGCGCTTCTTTGGGCCAGTTCTATCCTCAGGGGGTTGGGGTGAGGCTGGGGGTAGCAGACCAGACTCCTCCTGGCTCACACAGTGGCCTCAGCCCAAGGGAGGGGCCAGAGAGCTCAGCCCCTGATTCTAGGACAGTGTAGTGGGTTGGGGGGGGTGGCGAGACCCCATCTCACTAGGGTCCCAGGCACTAACCACATGCTAGCTAGAGTGGGATGTGGATCCAACTGGAGGTGGCCTCCAAATGTCCTGATGCCCTCACGGCCACATGCAGAGTGGCCCCATCTCTGGGGCTGGAGCAGGGGATCTGCTCACTCTCCTCACCAAGGACCAAGACCAGTGGCAACAACACCAGGTCCTGTTGACAGCACAGATTCCTGATGGGATGCAGGACAGGGGTCTCACTTGAGGTTATACGAAACCCACACTTTGTCAGACCATGAAGAAAATTCTAGGTGGACCCAGTCAAGAGCATCTTGTGGACCCCCAACCCATCCTCTCAGCACCACCCAGGGGAAATGGCAAAAATGTCTAGAAACTCTCTTAGTTGAGGACTGGCGGTGTGTGGTGACTTATGTTTCATGCAGTTCTGGTGAGTGCTGGGACAGGGGCAGGAAAAGGATATTAGCAGAAAGTGAGGAAGCTAGATACAGTGGGGATCTAGTGTTAAGGGTACCATCTATCAGTGCAGCCACCTGTTGTGACAAGTGCACTGAGATGTGACCAGGGTGGGACATAATGAGAATTCTGTGCCATCCTAGCCAATTTTCTGTGAATCTAAAACTGTTCTAAACATCTATGAAGACCCTCATTGAAGTCCTTGATACCACTCTCTGTCCAATTTAGCCACTCACCATCCTGTCCCCATCAAGAGCAAGACACCCTGCCAGGGACCCTCAATGCCCAAGGGGTTGAAAGAGAAGGGACTCCTAGGGGTCCCCCAGACCTCACCCCAAGTCTGGCCTCACTCAAGTGTAGGTGGCAAGGTGGGGGAGTAAGAGCAGACCCCTCCCCAGCAGACCCCTGTCCCCCCACTTATTCCAGGCAGCCGCCAACTGACTTCAGTGGAGACCCATGCCAGCCGGATCCCACTCTCCTGGCCTCTCAGTTCCCAGATCTTTACCAAATGCCTCCCGAGAACTGGATCCAGCTACTTGGCTCACCTGGGGACTTTTCCCCAAGCTGTGCCCGACCTGGAGCACCTGCCTCCTGAAAACCCTCAGCCTCCCTTCAAGGAGCTATGGGATTAGGTGGAAGCCCCTTCCCCCAGACCCTCAGAGAAGGGGGCAGGCAGGGCCTTGGGAGCCCTGGGAGCCAGGGTTACTTGCTGTGGTACAGCATTTCAAGGATCCCTAATTGAGCTGGGGAGCAGGCAGGGCCCGGCTGTGAGCCCTCAGGCCACAGCAGGGACATCCACAGTAGACGACCCCCTCCTGCCTGGGAAGCTGAGCCCAGAAACGACCCCCAGAAACAGGTATTGGCCCCACCCATGCCGGACTCAGGGAACCTAGCCCTACCTGTTCAACCAGAGCAAACTCCAAATCATGCCCCACCGGGCCCACAAAAGGATTCTGATAAAAGATACACACAGGGATAGAGGGACACGGGTTCCCAGTTGAGAGTCACAGACACAGCACAGGACAGAGATGATGTCAGCCCTCCCACCAGCCTGGCCACTTGTACTTAGGTCCCTTCCTAGTAGTGGCTGTACACATCCCCTCCCATACTGTGCTGGTCTTCCTGCCCCAGATGGAGTTCCAAATCTGCTTCAGAAAATTCCAGCAGACTGTCACTGCCAAAAAAGGACAGAGCAAGGCTGGGGGCCTCCGGAAGCCTGCTAGGGAAGCTTCTCAACTCCCACAGGTGGCCCACCCTGTGATGCAGCTCTGGCGGGAGTGGGTGGGGGTCTTGCCTCCAAGCAGCTACTCTCCCCAGGGGCCGGAGCCATACCTTATTGAGAGCCGCGAACTGCAGCCAGAACCGCAGCTGGGACATGGTT